AAAAAACTTTAACCAAAATTTCTAAATTAAAAAGGGGCATAATTCTGTCAATATATTATGCAGAGTTATCCAACTTGTCAACCTGATGTACCTTGTTACTATAAATAAGTATTGTAAGTTTCAATTGTCTGAAGTAATAATTGAGATATTTGACTTTACAAAAAACTTTAATCAACGCAGACGCCGACGCGGACGCCGATGCCAGGGCGACTACAATAGCTCTCATATTCTTCGAAAAGTCAATCTAAAAATAAAAATAATTATTTATTGGTCTTTTACTTGCAATTTCTAACAATCCCAATAACATATTAATTTTATTGTACAAATCAATTAATAGACGGTCATGTATATATGATTTCATGCACTTTGGACAAACTAGAGCACAAAAAAAAATTATTCTTTGGGTAGCATGCCCCTAAATCCCCCATGAATTATAGGCCTACACATAAATTTAGACAAAGCTATCTGATTTTTGCATGGAGAAAAAAATAAAACCATCAGACAGACATCCTTCATATTTCATTTCATTATGACATGTTATTTCCTTGAACTATCTCTTTAGCTTTTTACTTCAACAGTTATATAACATCAAACCATGTTTGGCTTGGCTTTACATTCACGTGACAAAATCACTTACGCAACAAGCAGATTTTTTTCTCCCTTGAAGACCAAAGGAAAAACTGACAGTTTTTTTTGTGCTTGCAATGGCTTTAAGACAGATAAACTGATATGAAATACTTTATACTGATTGAATATTATGTTTTTTCTGTCCTGAATCTGTGTGGAATATTTTACAGGCACGTGTATGCCATTATTTGTCATTGGCAACCAAAGTGATCGGTTTTGATACCTGAATTTAAGGACGCATTGATAGTTAACCCATAGCCTGCTGATTTTGTTTCATGGAGGTATCCAGGCCTGAATTTGTTTCATGGAGGTATCCAGGCCTGAATTTGTTTCATGGAGGTATCCAGGCCTGAATTTGTTTCATAGGGGTATCCAGGCCTGAATTTGTTTCATGGGGGTGTCCAGGCCTAAATTTGGAACAGTCCCGTCAACTTTAAAAGGATTTCAATACCACATTTACGCTACCAACAATATAGGGCCTGGTCAGAATGGACAGACATGCAGGTTGCAGGTCTTTTTCTATACTGGTGGCAAAGAGCAATAGTTCACTGTCAACTGCTTGAACATTTCTCAATTCACAATGAGATATTGCTATAATTATATGTTCACTAGTAACAGAGAAAAATCCTGTATAAAGAATTACACAAGGTAACAGTATACAGAAAATTCTCCTGAACATTGTATGAAAGACATTACATCACATCATTAAAATTTCAATCATTTTGGCGATTACTTTTATATTATCAACAATTACATACTGCCTTCCTGCCTTCACAAACAGAAACTAACCTTATCTTTGCAATGAAAATATTTATTATTTAGACTGAGTTAAATAAATAAATATTTTCATTAATTTTCCACTGCAACGCAAATGAAACCTATGACAGAACCAGTGACATAACTTCAGAAGAATCAACCTTTGTATTTAGTATTCCTAACCTATTTGTAAGCCATAACTTTAAGTTTACACGTACATGTGTCACTATACGATCATAGATGGTATCATGCACTTACAAGTGGTAGGTAGTATCACAATAAGAAACCTAGGTTACAATTTTCAACCCCTATTTCTTGTCATTACATAATCTAGAAAGTCATGCTTACGTCAATAACCTAATCAAATGTCTTCTAAATCAATTAAAACCATGCAAAACCTTTCCGCGTATGTGATAATTTTTATAACAATTAATGTTTGATATATTATATAACATTTTGATGTCTCAAAATACATCTCCATCATATACAATAATTTTTATAACAATTAATCTTCAATATATTACATAACATTTGATGTCTCAAAATAGATCTTCATTTATGATCATTTTTAACTATTAATCTTTCTCATATATTAAAGTAGACATTTTTTGTAAAACCATAAAAATGTAGTGTACAGGATTTCACTCGGCAGAAAAATAACAAGAGATGTCAAAAGGACAGCATGCTCAACTTTTCTCAGTGCTTGATAGTGAAAAATGTGTGTGGAAAACTTAGATATTAAAAAAAACACAAAGTTTTCATTCAAAATACATGACATAGTTATGGGTCTTGGACAGTCACCCCGGAAGTTTAAAAAGACCATATTTCATTCAAAAATCATGAATGAAAACCTTAAATCATAACTCTGACGATGTGAAGTAAACTTAAAGGAAATACAATAAGTAATTTTTTGAAATTAATGTTACATACAAATCTTCAACAAGGCATTTTCTAAGTTCACAAACGGCCAAAAATTAATTAAGGGCCATGGATTGTGACATCAAAATTAATTATGATCGAAAAGTCATGCAGTTGTGAAGTGTTTATTAGGAAACCGATTTGCAGTTTTATGTTCCCATCTTTTTAGAGTTGTCAAGTTAAAAAGTCTGCGATTGTGCAACAAATTTATTAAAGCGCTAATGTGTGACTAACTAGAGGTAAAATTGTATCCGACTGTCAATTATATGGTAAGTGCTTTCACTCTTCATGATTTTTTATTAAATTTGCAAAGTTAATTTGGAAAATCTAGTTAATTTAATATAAAGAATCGAATCCTTGAACAAACTAAATATGTTGAAAAATCATAATAGTTTTGTGTTAACATGTACAAACTCCATGAATAAAGTATTATTGATTTAACATTCACTGTGCAATCTTTGCTACAAAGTCATGATAAATAATGCGCTATAAAACAGAATTCCTTTGATGTGAATATCCTTTGATATCAACATCAATTTAAGAACACACTGTCACACAAATGCACATTTATCATAAAAGAAAACCCAGATACATTTCTAATCCTATTGTATTAAAACGTTGTTTTTTTCAGGTTACGGACCAGCTATTTTAACAGAGTTGCGTTAATGGCTTCCTGATCATATCCTGCTTTTAAGGTTTGTTTGGAGCATTTATCAGTCAAACAATTTTGTGTGAAGTTCTTTTATATCTTAAAAATCAGTACATCAATATTAACTTTTATTACTGTTGGAATCTCTTTAAAGAGATTTTGCAACTGCCTTAGCATATAATGTATTTCAAAGTTTTTAGAATGTGTTATTTTGCAATGAATTCAGATAATATGTTCTGTTACCAAGGGCAATAAATTATGACGAAAATAGAGATAATTTTTTCCATTTCCATGCAAGGCCATAAATCAGTCAAAATACATGTTAGAGATAGTGACTTGAAACCTTTATAAAGTGAAGATTTATCTTTATCTAGAAGTTCCGACTGAAAATCTTCAATGATGTTTCATGCACAAGTTTGTTCACAAAGGGCCATAATTTAGTCAAACTTTAGTCATACTAGTTACTGGCCTTAGTGACCAATGGATGGACCCAAGCTAGAAATGAGTATAACACACCTAGGACTGAGTAACAGTTATAAAAGTGCATATTGCATAATGCAACTGCCACTGAGTACTGACATTCAAACAAAAGTTCAAATGGCATAACACAGCCAAAACTTAGTAATGGTAACCAAAAGCTGATTGGCAAGTACAGAGCATGCTGGGTTGTTGTTATTTTTCCTTTGATAAATTTGCTTTCACCTGACATTATTTTGTTATATCAGAATTTCTATACATTATCTCAGTAAAATTAATAGCAAACTCTTTGAAGTCGTTTTAGTCAATTAGTCATTTGTTAATGTTCTTGCTGTGATTTGTCAAACATGTCTCCCCAATACTGGCAGAAAAAAGATAGATCTTTGATAGGATTTTAAATTAATTTAATGTCTGGGGAGATATTTTAGACATTTTTATATGTATTATAAACACCTCAAAAACTTTATCTAAATCACAGCTTTAATCATATCAAACATCATTGCAAATGATTGTTTCAATGAAGATTCAAACATGCACTTTGTCTAGACATAAACTTCCTGCATCAGCATTTATCTTTTGCTGCTATAACCTAGACATAAACTTCCGGCATCAGCATTTATCTTTTGCTGCTATAACCTAGACATAAACTTCCGGCATCGGCATTTATCTTTTGCTGCTATAACCTAGACATAAACTTTCTGCATCAACATTTATCTTTTGCTGCTATAACCTAGACATAAACTTTCTGTATCAGCATTTATCTTTTGCTGTTACAACCTAGACATAAACTTCCTGCATCAGCATTTATCTTTTGCTGTTACAACCTAGACATAAACTTTCTGCATCAGCATTTATCTTTTGCTGTTACAACCTAGACATAAACTTCCTGCATCAGCATTTATCTTTTGCTGTTACAACCTAGAATAAACTTTCTGTATCAGCATTTATCTTTTGCTGTTACAACCTAGACATAAACTTTCTGCATTGCCATTTGTCTTTTGCTGCTATAACCTAGACATAAACTTCCTGCATCAGCATTTATCTTTTGCTGCTATAACCTAGACATAAACTTTCTGTATCAGCATTTATTTTTTGCTGCTACAACCTAGACATAAACTTCCTGCATCAGCATTTATCTTTTGCTGCTATAACCTAGACATAAACTTTCTGTATCAGCATTTATCTTTTGCTGCTATAACCTAGACATAAACTTTCTGCATCAGCATTTATCTTTTGCTGTTACAACCTAGACATAAACTTTCTGCATTGTCATCTATCTTTTGCTGCTATAACCTAGACATAAACTTTCTGCATCAGCATTTATCTTTTGCTGTTATAACCTAGACATAAACTTTCTGTATCAGCATTTATTTTTTGCTGCTACAACCTAGACATAAACTTCCTGCATCAGCATTTATCTTTTGCTGCTATAACCTAGACATAAACTTTCTGTATCAGCATTTATCTTTTGCTGCTATAACCTAGACATAAACTTTCTGTATCAGCATTTATCTTTGACTGTCAGGTGACAGACACATAAACTAAATTCTTCATCATTTAGTGTACTACTCACCTTGCTGAAGAAGTCACAGATTTCTTGTGTAGGGTGATTGTTCTCCAACAGTGGAGCAAGGGCCACAATTATATTCTCGTGTGCGACTTTAGTTATAACATCAGCATTCTGAAATACAAAAAAAAAACAAATTTTAACTTTTTTTATGATGGTAATCAACCCATAAACATATAAAATTGCCCAGAGTGTTATCATGTTCCTCATGAAGTCCATCCTTGAGGAATAAGGAAAAAAGAAATTCCCCGGTCAACTCTCTTTAATTCCTGCAGCCAGCCTCCCTATGTCTGCCAAGGATTTTGTGCATAATTCCTGCAATGTTTTTGACTCAATCAATGCATAGGTTACACTCCCCCTTCATTTATATCTTTTTTTTTCCCTTAAACCTGCATAATTTGCACATCGAAAAAATTGTAACATTGTATCATCTTAAGTATTTAATAGATTATACTAAAATCAAGTATTTAACAGATTGAACTTAATTGAACTTTAATAATTGGATTTTCCTTATAACTGTTTTAACACAGTGGCCAGATCAAATCCCCTGCAAAATGCCATGGGCTACCAGACTACTTTCAGTCATTAATTTTATAATTTTATTTATGGCTTGTTCTTATACACTATGTAAAATGACAGTCACATGTTTGAAACAACATTCTCAAAATTGTTCCAGGATGTAAAATGACAGTCACATGTTTGAAACAACATTCTCAAAATTGTTCCAGGATGTAAAATGACAGTCACATGTTTGAAACAACATTCTCAAAATTGTTCCAGGATGTAAAATGACAGTCACATGTTTGAAACAAAATTCTCAAAATTGATTTGTTTACAAAAATTGTCTGAAGAAAATGTCAAACAAACATACTCTTCCAGGAAAATGTTACTGCACTTCCTTAAGGCTACCATTTTAATTATTTATATCATAGTTATCTCATAACAAAATGCTCTTGCAAGTAAGTTAATATATTAGATTTACATGTATATATTGCTCAGATATTTCCGTGTAAATTTTTTCATCTATTTCAGGAAACAGACATTGAAAGACATTAGACATTTAAAGAATTTATCTCGTCACAACTTTGTGACTGTGTATACATACTGGTACAATAGAATACCTTCATAAATTCCCGATAGTCTTTCATTGTATGACATTTAACTTTGTATTTATTTTTCAATATCTTTGTTAATAAAACTCTTATCTACTTCCTTTTCAGTCATAGCAAATAATGTCTAGAAATAATACATAATGGGGTGAAAATCAAGACTTCTTGTTATAAATAAATCTTCAAAATGGGTCACAGACATCTTATAATGGAATATAGTGATTTTTATCCTTTTTTTTTGGTTATTTTAATTACTAGTACACAAAATCAAAAAAAACAACAACAAACAAATGGTAGGGCTAGGACATGCTTGTCCTTTATTAAAAGAAACAAAATCATTGAAAATTGATGCTGAAAACTTCTTTTTTTAGTTAATATTCTTTTCATTTTGAAACATTCATGAAAATTTAAAAATACAAAAACATTTCTGAATACACTGTAGCCTCGATAACTCGCTCTTCACTATAACGCTAATCTCAGTAGAGCGCTCATAGACCTTGGCTCCCAAAAAAAAAAAAAAAAAAAAAAAAAATCTTCCAAAAAAAAAAAAAAATTTTTTTTTAAGTAGACTAAGATTTATAGCGCGCTATAACGCTTGCTCAATTTGAATGTCAAGTACAATAAACAATTGTTATTAGGACATTTATGAGCGCCAAAGGTGTGAAAAACATGCCCAGGTAAGCGTTTATTTGCTCTTTTGTTGTTTTACCTGTCTTCAAATTGTTTCCAAAATCTCAAATTCATATCATAACTGTGACATTGGCAATCGGTGGTGAGTATAAATAAACTAAAATTCACACACATATCTTTGACATGTAAACCTCGCTGAATTAAATAACCCACAAGCCCAAAATCAATTTAAAATCCTGCACTGTAAATAGAGCGGCCATGACAGGAAGTAATTGGCGTCTGATTTACTAGGGGACACAACTAAAGCTGGACTGTAAATTACAGTGTTATTTACAGTCCAGCTTTAGTTGTGTCCCCTAGTTAATCAAACGTCATTACAGTAATGGCTAACTGTTAGTGTTTACACTACATTCATGATTTTCTTTCGAAAGTTTTTCGTTACTTTTAAATATAATTAGTATTATTGTGAATATAATACATGTTTACATCATTGAATGGCTTTAGAAAAAGATAATGTCGATATTCATTGAACAGTAAGTAAAAAAAATCAGCGTTATATATAATATGTGGTGGGTGGGGTAATGCGGTAATTTCGCAATGAGCGTTCTAATGAGAGCCTCGTTAGAACGCGGTGGTGAGACATTGGACCCCAACATGAGCGATTTAATGAGGCTGAAGTGTATGTTGACATTCCAGTAACTGCTAAGTACACAGTCACTATGTATGGAATTTCCATGACTCAATGTCACTTTTCCAAATATCACAATTCTGTTTATTTTCTGCACCAGAAGTAGTTTTTTTTTACGTCATTCTTATCAATTAATTAATAAAATCATGATCACTTGTTTCTATTTATAGATCAAAATGACATTTATATATTATACATATATAATTTTATTGCTCTGAGCAGAAGGTTTGGTTCTAATAAAAATACCATTTTTGTTACGTAAAATGCGCAAATTTGTTTCAAATAAACACACAATTTCTGAACATTCTGAAAATGCCAATTTTTGTTTTATACAATAATTATATTAATATGATATTAAGGGGGAAAAAAATCCTCTTTTAAGTTTTATTGCTTTTTCTGTCTGTTTTGTTTAATTTTGTTAAGTTAGTTCTGGAGAACAATGCATCATTTTAAAGACTCAAAGACAAATCAGATTTAATTTGTATTTAGTGTGTATTTAAGTTACTAATTTTCATTATTCTTATGGTTTAAAATTTGTCCTGGAACATTTTTCATTTTTGTTACTTTACACATAACCCTGACCATGCAAAATTTGAACAAAAAAAATTCTTCTTAAACTCTGGAACTGTCTTTTACGTATAGGTTAGAGTGCATATTGGGTGTTCTTCGTAAATAAGAAAGCTAAAAAGGAGCGGAGCTTGCGAAGCGACTGTAGCTTTCTTATTTACGAAGAACATCCAATATGCACTCTAACCGGCTTAGTGCTCCGCCCATTTTTTTTCCGCCCAACACACTGCGTGACGTCACACGATAGCCTAAATGTGTATAACCATATTTGGAAGAGGTAGCGGTACACATTTTCGGGTCACGTGTTTTGCATAGCTTATTCCCGCATTCTGTCTAGGTAAATCAGACAATATCACGGTGCATATCCATCGGTACCCTCTTTGCGAAATATTCTCAAACGGTACCCTCTTTGAACATACACAGGTCATTCTCTGCTAAAACCAAAAAATGCAGTAAAAATTCATAGTAATAAGGAAAGGAGGTATGACACGTAGAAAAGATGTATACCACGGAACACTAGAATGTTTTATTTATGTGCCCGATTTTCATGTACTGCAACTTCACAATAAGCTACAAAAAGTCGACATGTCTTGCCTCGCCCGTCACCTCGACATATTTTTCGGGCTGAAATTGATTATAATATATGCAGCATACATATTTATTATGTTCATATACATATCATCTTTGGACAAATGGCAGTATATTGTCAAAAATAAATGTAAAATTAATAAAAACACCCTACTTTCGGTTTTGCAGCGGCACGGGCTTAATATTTACATAAAAAGTACGAAATATTACATACATACTTTGTTGGAATAAGTGAACTTCTTATTTGGAAATTATATAATGATACTGGTTCCGTAAGTAATAGAACATTTTTACTGTTATTTTGCCTGTTTTCATTTCAATGAACCTCTTTTTTTAATTCTATGTCGTAGTGACGATATACATGTGCGTGTACGGAAAAAACATAATGCATAAATATTGATTAGTAGGAGTAAACTTCAAGATCTCTGCACATGCGTATATTTCACTTTAGCGCTCTTCGAAACTTAGCTCCGCCCACTTGCGTTTTATAATATAAAACGTCCAGTTTATATAAAATCTGTTCTATTAAGATTTGAAACCTGAAAATTTGAAAAATCCTCGTCGGTGATTGGCTTAAAAAAATTGGCGAGCACTAATAAATTTTTAGAAATTTGAAGGACATAAAACTAAATTTAGGGCACAATTTTTTTTATGATATTTTTATTTATTTTTTTTTTTGCACTTAAGGTAGTCTTACTGTAATCAGGGTTTGTACAAACTTTTCCAGGTATGTACGAACCCTGTGCAATGCTTTCCTGCTAAAATATTTCCATGATCAGCCAATATCGTAATAAATTGGTCATTTCCAGAACATTATTTTTCACAATCTTTGGCATTCGATAATTTTCAACTGTTTATAACTGGAATTTAGTACATAGCAATATTAAAGGATGAGTGATTGTAAATAATCTTATGCCCAAGATTTTGGAAAAATATTATTCGTGAAAAAAAACGATTTGCTACGATATTGGCCGATGTTAGAATTTTTTAGGGGGAAAGCATTACAGTAAGACTACCTTTAGACTTTTTCAATAAACAGTCTTATATATTAGTTTTACCTTATTCCTAGGACATAAGTCAAATTTTAGGACAAAATTGGTTTCCACTTAGGACCATTTCAATTAACAGTCCAATTAAGCATGGGATTAATTCTGCAATATGCCAATGTATATCAACATTGTTAATTGGTAATGAAAGAAGTCCTAACACATGGGTCATAAGTTAGGACATTTTTTAGCATTTCCTTTGAAAAAAACATTGACATGGTTTTGATCTCAAGATTTATTCAAGAATAAGGACTTTCCATGAAACACGACCCAATATCAAAATGCTATGAGCATGATAAAATCAGGTTAGATGGCTAATTACAGATTTGCCAATCTTTTTTCTACTGGAACTGCTTAGCTACTGTAGTAATTAATATTGGAATACTTGCAAAGTCACTATATGTTTTTTATTACATGTAAATTCGTACATAATGGAAAAATTCCCAATAATATATACATTCTATACCATGCACAAGCCTGATATCATCATCTATAAGGCTTAAAGAGTTAAATACAATTTTAGGACATTTACCCTGCTAATTATTGATTATTTCCAGCAATTATAGATAATAATCAGGTGCCACTTATTTGTTGTGTTTGAAGTGCCCATATTGTTCCTGTTTTGTCACAAGCAAACTGGGGCTGTCTGCAAATGATACTAAAAATAGCATATTGAAACAAAAATGAAGCTGAGAATTATTTAAGGTCAAAGAGTATTTTCAGAAAATAGGGTTTCTATTAATAAAATTCAATTTTGAAAGTACAATGTCCCTTTTAACCTCAGAAATGTCTGTGTACCGTTAAATACTCACCCTTTGCAGAAGTTCTGAAACAAGATCCAATGGGAACTGATACACGCTAGGGTCTTGTATTGGTGTGTGCAAGGAAACGTCTATCATGTTCTGAAAATAAAATCAATGATATCTCATATAATATCTAAATTTCCAAAAGTGCTTGCGTAAACTGACCAAGAATTCTCACCACACAGGCAAACAGTACATTCAAATATGCAAATTTTGGTGGAAATCAAAAAGCACATTTTTTTCTAAGAAAATTCTATTAAAATAATTACAAAATAATATTATCATAGAAAAAAATAAAGTTTTTTTGTTTTTTTTTCATAAATTTTTTTGCAAGAATTTTGTAGAAATACTGAGAAAAGGATACAAATTCTCGTTTTCTATAATCTAGGCTCAAAGTTTCTGTTACCATAGCAACAATTATATCGTGACAATGAATTAATTGACATGACAATAACAGTTTTCCCTTGACTAGGATTACAGTCATTAATAATAAAGTAACAATCATTATAAACCACTTCATTAATCGCCAATAATGGAATAAGTCATTACCATTTCAGTATAAATGGCAAAATACATGCTTAGTAATATTGCAGTGTTAAGCAAAAAAGGAAACACTGGAAAAGAAAATGCCTTATTCATCATAAAAAACTTGTTTCAAATTAATGAAATTCATAAAAAACACTTGTTAATATAAGTTTATTTGGAAATAATTCAATGAGGCTTCTATCGCCAGAAATATTTTACATTATTTAAGGGGGGCAACATGGTAAGAAATATTTAAAATACATTTAAAGGGGACCACCTTGGCTAGAAATATTTCAAAAATATTTTAAGGGGGCCACTATGACTAGAAATATTTCAAAGATATTTAAAGAGGGCTACTACTACCACTAGGGCCAGAAATTTTTTAAATATATTTAAGGGGGCCACCATGGTAAGAAATATTTCTAATACATTTACGGGAGACGGACCACCATGGCTAGAGATATTTCAAAAATATTGAAAAGAGCCCACCATTGCCAGAAATAATTAAAAAATATTTATGGGGGCCACCATGGTAAGAAATATTTCAAATATATTAAAGGGTCAGGGCACCATTGCTAGAAATATTTCAAAAATATTTAAAGGGGCCACCATGGCCAGAAATATTTAAAACATATTTAAAGGGGCCACCATGGCCAGAAATATTTAAAATATATTTAAAGGGGGCATCCATGGCCAGAAATATTTCAAAACAAGTCATTTGCCTTCAAGCTCATTGAGTCTTCAAATGAAATATTCTGAGCTTAAACTCTTTAGAAATTTATCAAAACAAGGAACCAGTCTGAAAAATAAGACCCTGTCATTATAGTTTTATGCTGGGTCTCGACCAATCAGATCACAGGAATTGTGACAGACTGCTATTTTATCTGAAGTTTTATACATTTTTATAGCTATACTCAAATCTCTTATGGATTTGCACCTCACCTTTATTTCTTTTACCAACACTTCAGGGCGCCTGGCATTTTTCAACAACTTCTCATATTTGTACATGTGTTTCTGTAAATAGAAATATCACATTGATCTTCACAATTTTTTTTTACCATAATTAACATAGATAATGCCACCAACCTTCCTGCGGATAATGCTACCTTCTAGGTAAATCCTTTTTGCACCCGTTGACAGGGGAAAATATGATTAGTTTGTATTAAAAAGTTCATCATAGTCATTATGCCAGTTCAAAACAATCTTTGTATTTAAAGCAGTTGAACAGTACATAAAACTCAGTTAAAACTGTTGTTTTTTTTTCAGTTAAACTACAAACATTGTTTTTATTGTTGTTTTTTGTTGTTGTTAAGACTATAATATACATAACTATGTCAGTAGGACGCAGCACACTCAAATATTCTCAATGCTATGATAGTTAAACAATAGCCTGGATAATGTAGGAAATAACAAAAAGCAGATTTAATTTGAAATACATCACATAATTATTCATCCAAAACGATCTTCACAGAGTCCATAAAAGGCCATATTTCATTCAAAATACATGCTATTGTTATGGGTTTCGGGAACTAAACTTCAGATACAATTCTGAAATCAGAAGTTTAAAATGAATACCATCAATAATGTTGCATAAAACTTAAAATAAAGAATTTTCTGAGTTGACAAAAGTGTCATAAATCAGTCAAACTCCATAATTTAATCCCAATTCAAGTGAATATCTTCAATAGTTTTCAAAGCAAATGTTTCATCTGAACTTTTCTCAATTTTTAACTGACAAAGGACCACTAATCGGCGGCAAAGACATGTATAAAGTTTAAATATCTAACTAAACCACTGATAAGCAATAAACTATAACAAACTTTTTTCAAATAATTATGTACCTGAGCCATTGAAGGACCATAATTTCAACAAATTTTAAAATGCCCATCTAAACCATTGAAGGGCCATAACTTCAACAAATTTTCCATTATCTAACTTAAAACCACTGAATTTAGCTATAACTGACAAAAATTTTCAATAATTGCTTACCTGAACCATTCAAGGACCATAATTTCAACAAATTTTAAAATACCCATCTAAACTATTGAAAGGCCATAACTTTAACAACTTTTCCATCATCTTACTTAACCACTGAATTTAGCAAAAACTCAGACAAAAATTTTCCAATAATTGTGAACCATTGAAGGACCATTATTGCTACAAACATTTCAAATATCTATTCAAACTATATTTGAACAATAATTTCAACGAACTTTCCTTATATATCTTACTGAACATAGTCAAGTTCCAAACCAACTTAATTAACATTATCAACAGTAAATAATATGCTAACTTTCATAGATATTAAAGAATTCAAGAATAATTCTTGTAAGTCTTTGAGGTACAGTTGCAGGTTGAATGTTGAAGAACCCATCTGTCTACAGTCTATGGAATAAAAAGATTCAACCACATATGAATTTATTTAACTTCAATTATCTGACACTCATTCTTTACACATTTTCCTTTCACTCAATTTGATTTCCCCTGAGCACCTGCATAATTAAATTATATAATTTTGTCATCAATAGTTTTATCTATGGGTCAAAAATCTATTCTAAGCTTTTTATATTGAGTTACATGAAAAGTATAGTGTTGCCAACTAATTATTTATCACATACAGCACTTAACATAAATCATACGGGCAATACAGAATTATATTATACCTCATTTGCATACGCCCTTCTATATTTGATATGACGTCACCCGGTCCATAAACCGCATACAGACCGGGGGGCGGTCCATAATTCTTATGAAGACCGTTTAAACGTAACTTTTAAGACATGCGAATTTCACGACGACACAAACAGATAACTGTCAAACTGGCTAGGCAATTCGCCTTTTTATCAGAGACATGTTTATCAAAAGTCATGATTTGTCTTTAATTTAATTATAAATCTTATTTATACAGTTTGTGAAATTCTTAAAGTCCGGGTTTTTTGCCTAGTAAAATTAAAATTTAATTTGATTAACAAAGATGGAATATTAAAGAAGCATGACTTTGCATCGTCGGATACCCACGATTGAAAAATATGTCACATAACTTGCATGTTTATGGCCGTGGGTATCAGACGATGGCTTGTTTCCTGCATCGCATAAAATGATAGAACAAAATCCGACAAGGGTTTGAGATATTTCACACACTGAACAAGTTAAATTATTATTTAAAAGCAAATTATACTAAAAATGACTGCAAACAACCAGGGGATGATAGGATTTAGATTCGGTATAATATAACAAATAAAACATGGCCTTTCGGGCAAAATGCAAGTTTACGGACTGGTTGGTCAGACTGAGGAAGGTATATGTCCCTCAGCTGCGCTTAGGCCATATACCTTCCTCAGTCTGACCAACCAGTCCGTAAACTTGCATATTGCCCTCAAGGTCATGTTTTATTTGTTAAATAATGATGTTTTCAAACAAGTCCAAGACAGCTTTCCCACTTGGATGTGTCTTCTTCCATAAAATCTGTCACAACTAGTTACTGACCTTAAACATCACCTTTAGAGTAAAAAATAATCAAAAGTACTGGAGAAAAAAAAACGAATCCCTCCAGAACTCAAGAAAAGACATTGGCTAAAATGAAAATGGTCCTACTTGGTTTGATCTGTCAATGGACAAATGAAGATATCAGTAAATAAAAGTGCTATAAGAAACAGAGATTGTGACAGAAGAATGGAAGGAAGAAAAACTGGTAACTACATGTATGTCATGCTCTAATGAAAAAATTATGGAAGGCTAAAATTGAATGCTGTCTGATTTTGACTTAATTGGAACTATTGTTATTTCGATCATAAATTAGTAAATGTCTCTTTCACCAAGTTTATAATTACATTAAATTTTCATTTATTTATCATTGAATTAGATAGCATATGGCTAGATATCCCATCAAACAAGACCTGACAAAACCACCAGTGCTATTTCATGAGTTTTCTTTTCCAAATCCAAATGTGACATGAACTCTGAACTACAACATTAGAACCCATTGCCTTAAGGTTCTTGACATCAATATGAAAAAATATTTTAAAATCCGTCCCCGAACAATAAAGTTACAAACCTGCCTATACTGAGATACAAAGACAGACTGATGGATGGACAATTCAAAATCAAGTATTTAGATAATGGTTACCAAAATACCTAGACACAAGTAATATGTACATGTATATGTTTTCAAATGAACATACCTTCCACTGGATGGAGTAAAGCCATTGGTCCCGAAGATGGGAGTTATTTGCCTGAAAATAAATAAAGAAAAGGTTATATAACCATAAAAAATAACATGCCAGAAGGAAAACGAATACATCATCACTATTTGTACTTTTGTCAAACTTTTCTCTAATTAGAACAATTATCAATTTTCATGTCAGGAAGCATTATCTGTACCAGTAATACTTCACATACTATCAAATTCTGAAAACTGGAACCAAAAGTTTTTATTGTTATTTCTTTTATGTGATTGTTGTTTTATAATCTAAAATAATCATGGAATATAAACTTGTCAAATTAAGGTTATTGTAGAAAAAGTATTACAAAATAAGTTTTATCTGTGAACATGACTAATAAAAATATTTACAAATCAGCTGGTTAATTTCTCACTTTTGAGCCAAAATTGATTAATTTTGTAAAAACCCTACTTGAACCATTGGCTGAAATGTACTTTATATGTCAAACAAGAAATACCCTATGATTAATATGTACTTTAAAGATTGAAAACAACTCATGTACATGTAGTTTAAAGAAGTGGGTTAAATCCCATAATTGTTGTTATTAACTACATCATTTTTTTTTTTTATACTTTTACTAACCTTTGACCTGCTTTATTTGTGTAATGGAGTTGCCCTGCTTTGTATGGGAGCAGTCCATTTTCAAGTTTTAGGTATTTCAATATCAAAAATTCAAATACCAACTTTGGGTAACAAGCAAGACGTTAATGTGTTGAAAATAGAAAACTCATAACAATTAACTCTATTTTAGGGGAGATGTTCCTTCCCTTAAATGTGCAGGAAATAAGCACATGGGTAAGAAAACAAATGTTAAAAGAATTTTAGGGGAAACCTGCATCATTTAAAAAACATAAATAAGACCAATCCTACACAAAAGTTCATAGAAAAGGACAATATTGGCTTTAACTGACATGTGAGCAGGTGAAAATTAGTTTCATGAATATTTATATGTACATGTACATGTACTTTTTTCTCAATCAAAATCATGGTGAATGTATGGATCAATACAACATTTAAGGAGGATGCACAGCACAAGTTCTGAACCGATATAAATATGGTCAAAGGATAGGTTGTATTGAAATCATCTTCTTGAATCCATGGTAACAGAGTTAGCATGTCTATTGGTGATTTTTTTAAACCATTACAGCAATTCAATATTATAGTGACAACCCCGTGGAAAAAGACAAAATCATCTTGTTAAGGAGAAAATAAAGTGCATTGTACTTTATAACTGTACTTTTAATATACATTGCAAATACATGATGGTACATGTATTGTATTCCGTTATTAAAATCACAGTTTGAATTTTATATTAACACTGACATACTTAATATACATGTACATGTATATGTAATATATGTACATTTTTTCTTATTATTTTGTGGGAAATGACAGAAATTGAATGAAAAGCATATATCAAATATCAAACCATATTTTAAACGAAAAATACTGCAGTTTAGATGGTTTTGGAGAGGTAGGAGGGTTCTCAAGTGGGTAAGGAAGGGGGGTGGGGGGAATGAGTGACCAATCAAAGCGCTGAACACCTGTGTGCTAAATATCTTAAATTGACTTGTCCACCTTTTAATCTGGAAAAAAACCTTTCATCATATGTAGGGAAAATTTTTAATAATATGAACTGACTGAATTAGCAAACTGGGCTAGCCATGATCAGTTGCCACCGATGTGCAGATGTGCAAGTTGATCCTCGTCAGCATGAGTGGCATCAATTAATACAATCTGTTTCTACAGGTTACGGGTAAAACACCTTTTTTAAACAATTACCACATTCTATAAAATCAAGTAACTCAGTAAATTCATTAATGACGAAATTGTTGTTGTTGTTGTAGATTTTTCATTTTTTGTGGAGATATATTAATCTCTTGTGACCCTTAGCCTTTAGGCATGATTGAGCAAGTGGAATGAGCCGTATTTATGGACATTACATATAATTATGCTACAAAATACCAAATCTAACTCATTTTTAATTTCTACGTAACTGACTTAATAAGGGCATGGCATTAATTATAGTCTAGGAAATGCCAACAACTTTACGCGAAATGGCACAACAATATTTTTAAGTCACGACAGTGCCTCAATTTACGGGATGACTGAAAACATTATACCATAATTCCAAAATAAGTAGGCATTAATACTAACTACAAGTCTTCTGAATTTTTGCTAGGCAACGAAAAGAAAAAGGTACTTGTTCCAGATTTGCAAACTGCATCCAAGATATTTCTTTCAACTATATAATGGCAGAGATATAACTTAATCAATTAAAACAAGGAAATGTCAAGATATTGTTTTTTTGCGCTGAAGGGGGGCATGATATCGGATGAAATAAATAAATGTTAGAGCTCTTGATATAATTTGTCCTAACATAAATGTGCACAACAACTTAAGCCTCTTTAAGTGGAAGATAATGTCATATTTTATACACCATCTCCTTAATGTAAGCCTGCTTGTGCCATGTGACCAGAGCTGCTGAGACAGGTAGATCTCTGACCATGGTACAAGCAATTTTTTTGATGATAATACCAATATTGCTTTGTATTTTCTTAATTTGACTATCATACTATGTCTGAAAACGATATTATTTCCTGAATTATTCAAACCACAAATTTCCTCCTTGTATAAATTTTAATGATTTTTCAATGATTTCTCAATTTCAACAGGAAATTGTCTGAGTAGTTTCTATACATTACATGTTATCTTTTCTGTATGAAATCACTTGGCTGGGATGCCAAATTCAACATAAAGAAATTTATAGAATATTTCTGAAATGTTTTTATGTCCTAAATACTTGACCCTGCAGATGTGACAAAATAAATCAAGTGTATTCATTTTGTTTTGTTTTTTCTGAAATTTGTTTTTGAAATAATAAATGTTACATTGTTCTTTCTGAGTGTTTTTTAAATTAATTATCATATTTCAATTGTTGTTAACTCTGACAAGAGAATGACTGGCTAACTGATCATTGACTTAACTTTATACGTAACTCTATACTGACAGACTGATCTCTGACCTTACTTTATACCCAACTCTATACTGACTAGCTGACCTCTGACCTTACTTTATACCCAACTCTATACTGACTAGCTGACCTCTGACCTTACTTTATACCCAACTCTATACTGACTAGCTGACCCTCTGACCTTACTTTATTACCTAACTCTATACTGACAGACTGATCTCTGACCTTACTTTATACCAACTCTTACTACTACTGACCTCTGGACCTTCTTTATTACCCAACTCTATACTGACCAGCTGACCCTCTGACCATACTTTATACCCAACTCTATACTGACTAGCTGACCTCTGACCTTAACTTTTACCTAACTCTATACTGACAGACTGATCTCTGACCTTCTTTATACCCAACTCTATACTGACTAGCTGACCTCTGACCTTACTTTATACCTAACTCTATAACTGACAGACCTGATCTCTGACCTTACTTTATACCCAACTCTATACTGACAGACTGATCTCTACCTTACTTTATACCCAACCTCTATACTGACAGACTGATCTCTGACCTTACTTTATACCCAACTCTATACTGACAGACTGATCTCTGACCTTACTTTATACCCAACTCTATACTGACAGACTGATCTCTGACCTTACTTTATACCCAACTCTATACTGACAGACTGATCTCTGACCTTACTTTTTATACCCCAACTCTATAACTACTAGCTGACCTCTGACCTTACTTTATACCCAACTCTATACGACTAGCTGACCTCTGACCTTACTTTATACCCCCAACTGCTATACTAACTAGCTGACCTCTGACCTTACTTTATACCCAACTCTATACTACTAGCTGACCTCTGACCTTACTTTATACCTAACTCTATACTGACAGACTGATCTCTGACCTTACTTTATACCAACTCTATACTGACAGACTGATCTCTGACCTTACTTTATACCCAACTCTATACTGACAGAACTGATCTCTGACCTTACTTTATACCCAACTTATACTACTAGCTGACCTCTGACCTTACTTTATACCCAACTCTATACTGACTAGCTGACCTCTGACCTTACTTTATACCCAACTCTATACTGACAGACTGATCTCTGACCTTACTTTATACCCAACTCTATACTACTAGCTGACCTCTGACCTTACTTTATACCTAACTCTATACTGACAGGCTGACCTCTGACCTTACTTTATACCTAACTCTATAATGACTACCTGACCTCTGACCTTACTTTATACCTAACTCTATACTACTAGCTGACAGTGACCTCTGACCTTTCTTTATACCTAACTCTATTCTGACTAGCTGGCCTCTGAACTTACTATAAACTTAACTATTTACTGACAAGCTGACCATACTTTGTACCTAACTCTAAACTAACTAGCTGGCCTCTGACCTTACTTTATATAAACTGACTAGCTGGCCTCTGACCTTACTTTATACCTAACTCTATACTACTAGTAGCTGACAGTGACCTTTGACCTTTGATTATACCTAACTCTATTCTAACTAGCTGACTTTACTTTATACCTTACTCTATACAGACAAGCTGACCTCTGACTTTACTGACAAACTAGTCCTAATTATAAGACCTATACGTAACCTATTTCATATTTATCATTCATTAATCTGATATTTTACATTTTTCATTTTCCATGTTACGTTAGGTCTTAACAGATCTTTTGCAAATCGT